GAGATCGTCACCAGCGGCACTGGCGGAGATTCTTCCTCCGCTCCTGGGTCTCCGGTCCTCACATTGCCCTCTCACGGGGGAAAGAGGAGGAAGCCCAAATCCAAGCTCCAAAATGATGACGAACCAAAGAATTCCTCATCGTCGGCCTCGATTTCTCATCTCAATTCCCTCGGGGACGAAGAGCTTGAGGATTCCTCCTATGGATACTCAAACTCGAGATATTAGTACCAAATTTATTAAAATTTCTAATATTTATTCTTTATAATAATTTTTAAATCTAAGGTATGAAAATTATAATTACTCATTTAAATAAAATTTAATTAGTTTAAAACAATTTAAAATTAATTTTATAAGAAAAATTACGTTGTATTACTATGCACAACTCAACCAAACACCGTAAAATAATATTCCTCAGAATCTAACAAAAGATTTCTACCCATAACCAAACATGATAATGTAGGTTTTCAGGGAATTATATTACCCACCATCACTTTCTTAGGTATTTGATTGCTATTGATTACAGCATACCAAACGCCCCCTTGGTGGGATAATTGCATCAGTTAGACAGATTGAAAGGGCTAATTGTTAAAATTAAAAATTTAGAAAATAATTTGTTAAAGCACGAAAATTCAGAGAGAAATGTGCCAAAAACCCTAAAATAAAAAGGTGCCTCAATATATATTGGCTCCTTCATTCTATAGAGAAATGTGCCAGAAACCCTAAAATAAAAAGGTACCTCAATATATATTGGCTCAGTAAGCTTCATTCTAGAGTTTCTTTTTGGACCCTTGTTTTTTTTTTTTTTTCCATGGTTTAATGTAACGAATACCTTCCTCAGGGAAAAAAATGTCTTAGAGAAAAGTTCCATGAATAGACTAAGGTTTCGTTTAATATGAGGATTTAAATCATGGTGATTTTAATTTTAATTTTAGAACTAGAATCATAAGTCATAATTTTGAATCCAAATCATGGTTCTGAAACCAGAACCAGAATCAGGGGTTTGAACCATTCAAAATCATGGAGGGAGTGATTTTAAAATTAGGAGTGATTATGGTTTAAAACATCACATCAAGATTCAAATCTTGAATCAAAACCATCTAAACCATCTAAACCAAACACTGATTATGGGTGAGTCAACTCAGAACTAGAGATTCTTCCTCCGCTCCTGGGTCTCCGGTCCTCACATTGCCCTCTCACGGGGGAAAGAGGAGGAAGCCCAAATCCAAGCTCCAAAACGATGACGAACCAAAGAATTCCTCATCGTAGGCCTCAATTTCTCATCTCAATTCCCTCGGGGACAAAGAGCTTGAGGATTCCTCCTATGGATACTCAAACTCGAGATATTAGTACCCAATTTATTAAAATTTATAATATTTATTCTTTATAATAATTTTTAAATCTAAGGTATGAAAATTATAATTACTCATTTAAATAAAATTTAATTAGTTTAAAACAATTTAAAATTAATTTTATAAGAAAAATTACATTGTATTACTATGCACAACTCAACCAAACACCGTAAAATAACATTCCTCAGAATCTAACAAAAGATTTCTACCCATAACCAAACATGATAATGTAGGTTTTCAGGGAATTATATTACCCACCATCACTTTCTTAGGTATTTGATTGCTATTGATTACAGCATACCAAACGCCCCCTTGGTGGGATAATTGCATCAGTTAGACAGATTGAAAGGGCTAATTGTTAAAATTAAAAATTTAGAAAATAATTTGTTAAAGCACGAAAATTCAGAGAGAAATGTGCCAAAAACCCTAAAATAAAAAGGTGCCTCAATATATATTGGCTCCTTCATTCTATAGAGAAATGTGCCAGAAACCCTAAAATAAAAAGGTACCTCAATATATATTGGCTCAGTAAGCTTCATTCTAGAGTTTCTTTTTGGACCCTTGTTTTTTTTTTTTTTCATGGTTTAATGTAACGAATACCTTCCTCAGGGAAAAAAATGTCTTAGAAAAAAGTTCCATGAATAGACTAAGGTTTCGTTTAATATGAGGATTTAAATCATGGTGATTCTAATTTAAATTTTAGAACTAGAATCATAAGTCATAATTTTGAATCCAAATCATGGTTCTGAAACCAGAACCAGAATCAGGGGTTTGAACCATTCAAAATCAGGGAGAGAGTGATTTTAAAATTAGGAGTGATTATGGTTTAAAACATCACATCAAGATTCAAATCTTGAATCAAAACCATCTAAACCAAACACTGATTATGGGTGAGTCAAATCAGAACTACTTTTTACTTTTTGTAAACAAACACTGGTTTGAACCAAAATCAAGGTTCCGGGTTCTAGAACCCTTATACCAAACATGCTTTAAGTGTGACAATAATTTTTTTGAAAATTACTCTATAACCGTAAGACTAATTAATATATAAGAGATTTGATTGAGAACTTTATGATAATTATTAGTAAGTAATTAAGGTATAATACAATAGGAGAGAGAAATGATTACAAAGAGTTTTTATAAAGAAAGCATCTAAATGTAAACTTTTGATTAGTCAAAGTGTGCCACGTAAACAAAATAACGTGGTATACCTAATTCACTGAATAGTTTTTCTATTATAGATTGTTAGAGAATTTAAAAGCAACCTAACTAAAAGAGATATACATCGGCCAATTATATAGTATTTTTAAGAAAAAAAGAAAACAAAAGAAAAATACATGGTTTGAGTATTATGCAGTTATTCTAAATGATCAGGTGTTATTATGATTTTTTATTTTTATTTTTTTAATTGAATGATAATTATTTATTTTTTAATAAAGTGACATAAATAATATTTTTTTACCATTTTGAGTGATATTTTGGTTTATTTTTCGGGCCTTTGCGTAAAGATCATAAGATCAAGATGACTTAGTCCCTGTTTGTTTCAACAACTTAAACTGTTGTTTAAAATTCAATCTTAGTTCATGATTCAAATTGATGTTTGGGAGAGAAAAATTTAAGGACAATTCAAACCATTAACAATAGTTTAAGGACAACTCAAATTGTTGATTTTAGAATTCACCTCCCATCCCTAAATTCTAACAATCCGAATTGTTGTCAACAGTCCAATAGTTTCAGATTATATTTTTTTCTCTCTTCAATTTCAATCTTAAAAATATAATAACTTATTCGTTTTAATTACGATTGAGATAAATCTTTTTATGTATTCATAATGAAGAGGAGAATAAATCTCCACCCATATTGCATATTTTTTTAATGTCATTTATATTAAGGTTTTATAAGATTTGTTATAAAACTCTAATGATAGTTTTTAACACTCTTTGCGTAAAGATCATAAGATCAAGATGACTTAGTCCCTGTTTGTTTCAACAACTTAAACTGTTGTTTAAAATTCAATCTTAGTTCATGATTCAAATTGATGTTTGGGAGAGAAAAATTTAAGGACAATTCAAACCATTAACAATAGTTTAAGGACAACTCAAATTGTTGATTTTAGAATTCACCTCCCATCCCTAAATTCTAACAATCCGAATTGTTGTCAACAGTCCAATAGTTTCAGATTATATTTTTTTCTCTCTTCAATTTCAATCTTAAAAATATAATAACTTATTCGTTTTAATTACGATTGAGATAAATCTTTTTATGTATTCATAATGAAGAGGAGAATAAATCTCCACCCATATTGCATATTTTTTTAATGTCATTTATATTAAGGTTTTATAAGATTTGTTATAAAACTCTAATGATAGTTTTTAACACTTTATTCAAACACAATTCAAATTTTATTCCCAATTTAAATTATAATTTATTTGCGTATCCAAATAACAATTCAGATCACAGTTTAAATTCTATAATTCTAACTAAAAAAATTTAAATCTTCACAGTTTGAGTTGTTAAACCAAACAAGCCTTTAAGGATCACACTCACAGGTTATAGACCTATAGTAGAACATAATAAAAGACAATATCTGAAACTGATTAACATGTGCGTTGAAGCCGGCAACGCAACATATGTCATTTGACAAATTTTGTACATTTTAATAAATTTCTTCTATTATTAATTGGTTCTTTTTTTATTAGAATACTTCTCGATCAGAAATCTTTTCATTAATGACAATTATTTTTTATGAAAGCACGTTACATTAGCTTGAGACGGCTAAGCTAGCAAGTAATAAGTAGAAACAAATCAACAAGAATTAAAAAAAAAAAAACAGAGAAGAAGATTTTTGTTTTTTCGAAGCGTTTTAGAGAGAGAGTGAGAAGGTCCTTGGAGAGCAGATTCTAGTTGGAGCTCTGACACTGCTACCGGTCGCGTCCTGAGCTCCCGACAGTGAAATTTGGTCCTTCGGCTCGTCTCGTCGTGAGCTTCTCATTGTTGGTGATGGTGTACGGTGTGGTAGCTCTATTTGGCCATATATGAACCGGTTAGGAACTTGGAAGCTGAATAGAAGGTCTCCTTTCTCAGGAGAGTTTTCCACTTTGTGGCTGACATTTCTCCGTTGGCTATCTTCCTCGATGGTCTCTTGGCCAGAAGCTCTTCATCGGAGGTTTCTACCGGCGGTGTTAGAGGTTTTCTTCTTTTTGTCACTTTTGTGTTTGTAATAAAGTTGTGGTTTCCCTATCCAACTCTCGTCTAGTTTGTTATTTTTTGTTAGATTTAGGTGTTTGGCTTAATATCGATAGGGTGGTCTTAGTCCTGTTACAATTTTTTCTATGTCGTGTAGATGTCCCCTTTCTGTGTTTGATTGCCTTCCAGCACTCGACAGCTTATGTTGAAGAGATGAGCTTTCTCTAGTCGAGCTTTCAGTCCGCTCGTTGTTAGTGTGCTCATGTGTTTTCTCGATTTTGGGTATCAAACGTGCGTCTGTTTCTCTTATAGATTAACATTGTATCAAGACAACTGTTTATCAATATTTTAATAAAATGTAATTTTCTCTTTAAAAAAATGTAGCAACAAATCAACTTGTTTCTATTTCAGTGCATAAAAATAGGGTAAAACTCACTTTCTATTAGAAAAGCGTAGTCCACAAAATGAGCAGCATACAGTCATCAAAACGAACACTCTCTTTGACTTTCAGACATCTTTCAGACATCGGCAGTCCCAGTGCACATTAGTTATATACGTGTATGTCATGAATTCCTGATTCAAAGAGATCTAGAGAGAGAAAGAGATTTATAGAGAGAGAAAGAGAGAGATGGGAACCGTTACACCGGGCTCTATTCCAGTACATGAGGGAGAAGGTGGGAAGGATATTGCTCAACACACTCATCCTCAAAGAGAACTTGATGCCGGTGCTCTTTTTGTTCTCAAATCCAAAGGTAAAATATTTCATACAAAGGATTATACATATACATAACTTTCCTTGTACATAACCCAAAATTACTCCATTATTCTTTCTTGCTCCTCTTTCTTATTTTCCTTTTCTTTTTCCCACTTTTGAGATCTTCAACTTTTTTTTTTATTTTAAAAAGGACAAATATAGTTGGTACTGATCAGCAGTTTTCCATTAACCATTGCAACTTTCACTATGAAGTTCTAAGTTTCAATTCTCGCACACTTTTAGAAAATTTCCATTAGTATAATCCTAGAAAAAAATAATCTGAACCAATAATTTGTTTTAAAAAGTTTCTCTAATAAGATGAGAAAAAATAAGTATTGATAATTTTTTCAATATTCAGTCAACAAATTTAGCTTTATTATTGGTAACCATTGCAACTTTCACTATGAAGTTCTAAGTTTCAATTCTCGCACCCTTTTAGAAAATTTCCATTAGTATAATCCTAGAGAAAAATAATCCAAACCCATAATTTATTATAAAAAATTTCTCTGGTAGCATGACAAAAAAATGAAATATTTATAATTCTCTATTTTTTAACCGTTCTATCTGTATTAAAAATTATCATTTTACATATGTTTTTAACTAAATTTAACTGTCAAAAATTGACACTAGAATTGGATGGTCTATTAAAGAAAGTCTCTTAATTGTTTTGCAAAACTAAATAAGAATGAAAATTTGCAGGATCATGGGTTCACTGTGGATATCACTTGACAACTTCAATTGTGGCCCCAGCTCTCCTGAGTCTCCCATATGCTTTCACTTTTCTTGGATGGGCGGCTGGGATTTTCTGTTTGGTGATCGGAGCTCTGGTGACATTCTATTCTTACAACTTGATCTCTTTGGTTCTGGAACACCATGCTCAACTGGGTCGCCGCCATCTCCGGTTTAGAGACATGGCGCACGACATTTTAGGTAAGATATAACCTCCTCTCTCTCTCTCCAAGTTTTTATCTAAACTTGGTTATAGTTAATATCTGATTTAGCAAATACAATGTATGCATAATCAATTATTAATTTGTCCTTTTAAAAAAATAACAATCAATCATTTGTCAAAAATTAATATAAAAAAATTGGTAATCAGTCTATATATATATATATATATTATATAGTAACATATTTTCAGAATAAAAATACAAAGTTCAAAAGCTGAAAAGATTTATTTCAAAAAGAAAAAAAGAAAGATAAGAAGATTACAATTGAACTTTCCTGATGATAGGGATAGGATGGTCAAGATTTCGATCTGTCCACGTTTTTTTTTTCTTTTCAGTTTTTTTTTTAATTATTTATGTCGATATTCTCTCACATTGTTTAATTTTCTTCATTTTCTAACTCGTCAATAACTTAAAAGGGATATTATCACGGTTAATTCTTGAATTATAAACGTTCTATAATTTTGACACCTACAGTTTTAATCCTAAATAATTACTTCCTGAATTTCTGTTTTTTTTAGCAATTTTAATTTGATTCTTCACAGTAAGACTATAAGTAATCTGTCACTTTAATTTTAGACTTTTAAAAATTCATGACATCACGTAATTGACACATAATAATCTATTTTAAATTTCACAAAATTTGTCAATATTAGTGTCAAGTATCAAACTTGTCAAAAAAAAAAAAAAACACAGTTTGAATTTTTTTATGAGAATTAAAAGTATAGAGATCAAAGAGATAAAATACTTGTATAGTTTAGAAATTAACTGTGGTAATAATCCTAACTCAAAAGGAAAAAAAAAAAAAGATACATAAAAATTTGAAGAAACTAAAGAAAGAGAAATAGCTGTGACGGGGAATCTTTTAATCGGCTTTGTGAAAAAAAAAACACAGTTTGAATTTTTTTATGAGAATTAAAAGTATAGAGATCAAAGAGATAAAATACTTGTATAGTTTAGAAATTAACTGTGGTAATAATCCTAACTCAAAAGGAAAAAAAAAAAAAGATACATAAAAATTTGAAGAAACTAAAGAAAGAGAAATAGCTGTGACGGGGAATCTTTTAATCGGCTTTGTAGGCTATGTTTAGAATTGATTCTATTTTTATTTTTTAAGTTTTTTGAGAAATAAAAAATAAAAATATTTTTAATAAAACGGCGTTTGGCGCAATAAAGACAAAAAATGAAAATGAAAATGATTTTTTGATTTAGTATAAAATGATAAAGAAATGAAAAACAACTTTTAGTCGTTTTTCATTTTTTATTTTCGTTTTCTCCTCTCTCGAGCAGAGAGAGAAAGAGAGATATTAATGAGTTTTTTTATACTAAAAACAATCTTTTGATAAAATTACTAAACATATTTTTAGAAATATTAATGAGTTTTTTTATACTGAAAACAATCTTTTGATAAAATTACTAAACACATTTTTAGAAATAATTTATGTATCGGAGATTGAAAACGTTTTTATTTTCATTTTCATACAAAAAATAAAATCATTTTAGAATGAGTTTCAAACGCGCACATTGTGAACCCACCTCTTATAGTTAAATGACTTCGATATGGATATATCAATTATTTTATAGATTCGTCTTGACCATGTTCTCTCCTTCCCACTGGGAGCAATTAATTCCCCAACTAATAATGGATAGTGAAAGTTTCTACAAAACCACCACAAAACAGAAAAGCCTCAACTAGAAAGGCCATTGGCGGCAAGCCGACTAATGCGACCAAAGTGACTGGAAAACGCAATGCTGTAAGGAGCAGGGAGTGCAACAAAAGGAGCTTCACTTCGTCAACGAGTGAGATCCACAAGCTACCGCCGCCGAGCGCGAACCAAACAACGCACCCTACTAAGCGTTTCTGATGAAAAAATTTAGATTATGTTTTTGGTTGCTCGCGTTGTGTAATTATTACAAAGGCAGAGTCTGAACAATCACAAATAACCCCTTTCTCATGAACCCACCATGATGGATAACCCACAATCAGACTAGTCACACTGATGTGGTCCTTATTTAAAGGACCCCTATCAGTTGTGAATATTCAAGATAACCCACTATCAGAAATGAAAAATTCTAGAAATAAAAATAGTAATTAAGTAAATAATAAATTTTAAAAGTTTGAAATAAGTAGTAATTTATCATGTAAATATTTTATTTACGAGTGGTAAAAAATAATTTATATGGTAAAAAATCTTTATTTTTGTGAAATTTTTTTTTTTTTATTAATCGTAAAAAGAAAATTTACAAGAAAAAAATCTTTTTACAAACATTAACACGATATACTGTTATTTATTTTAATTATTCGTTATAAATTTGCTATTTACTTTATTCTTCAAAGTGGGAAATATCCTATTCCGCCGGGAGTCCCAAACTTTAGCATTAGCCCCAAGCAACGAAAATTAAAATAAAAAAAATAAAAAAAACACGAACACAAGAACGCGCAAAAGGAAAAGCAAGCGTGGACGACTCGTTTATGGTGCTGTCTTGCATGGAAAGCACGAACTTCAATATTCTCGTTTTCCCAAGTCGGCCCATCTAAAGTGGAGACTTCCCCAGTATCCTGAACGGCAAAAGGTTTTAGGGACCCCAAGCAATTTTTTTTTTTTTTTTTTTTTTTTTTTCAGTAGGGCTAATAATTGAATTAAAAATTTATGAGAAAAAATATTATAACAAATTACGAATTATGATTTAAATTATAGTATGAATCTATCAATTAAACACACACTGTATGATTAAATTTTAACTTATAATAGTGGTTGTGCATATATTAATATAAAACTGTATATTTATGTATGCATTTAAAAGAAAAATTAAGTGAGAGGCTTGAGGTCTCAATGTGTCTTAGACCTTGTTCATTTCACTGATTAGAATTTTCAATTTTAGATTTTTACAGTTAAAAACTCTAAAAAAATATTACATCTAATTTTTCTGTTACAATTAAAAATTCTTAAAAATATCACATTTCAGCTTGAATTAAAAACTCAAATTCACGAAAGCCTTGTGCGTGCTCACATGATGAATCTTTAGTATGATAGAATTCATTTCATGTCTAATCATGACTTAACTCTCGGAATGAAAAGAACTGCTCATTTTTATAGGAACTAAAACCAAAAGCACATTTAATTCCTAATTTAAAAACAAATTTAATTACTAAAATAAAGATAATCCTGCATTTAAAATCAAAATAATCCTAAGATAAATATCAAAAGTTAATCCTAATAATAATCCTAAAAATATAAAGATAATCTCTACAATATTTTCTAATTATCACATTGCAACTAAAAGTTGTGCATGTTAATATTACGATTTTTTTTAGGTTCGACATGTTTAACATTTTAATATTGAAAATGTTTTAATATCAATTTAAGATAAAATTAATTTGATACCCTCTACTATATCAAAACATATATTGTTTTTTAAAAGTACTAAATAGGATTTTTAAAAAATATATTAAATAGGTACTTTCAAGTTTTAAAAAACATCCTAAGACCGTTATTTAAGTCATAAAATGTCATTTCTGCCCTTATATCTAATCAATTAGAGAATTTTTAAAAAAGTTCTAAAAACATTTTAGAACATTTAAAATTTTAAAAAATAAAATTTTTATATTTTTAAAATATTTTTAGAATATGGATTTAAAAAAAAAAAATTTTAAAAAAATTTTGTAAAATTTTAAATGAGGACTACACAATAGTCAAAATGAAAATGCGTGATTGTGGGTGTTGGCATTAGTTACAAGATTATTCAGAAACAAATTTTAAAATAAAGTAAGAGAAAATAATACCAATCATCATTAGCAGTTGAGCAAATAATGTTATGAATTTACCTAATTAAGGCACAAGTTTTTTTTTTTTTTCCTAAGGAATTAAAGCACAAGTTGTTTACTAACTATTTCACTTGCTGCTAATTAATTTATACATGACAAATTTCCAATGATAATGTGGTGTCTTTTTTTTTTTTAATTTAAGTGTGAGTTGATTCAAACTCTATATTTTATAATAGAGTTATGTGTGAAATTATCGCTAAATTATAGTGCAATTATTTATGAGGTGGTGTTTTATATGACTTGCTATAGCATAAAGATATGCTACTGCCATGAAGATAAAACATTACTATATTCCGTGTTACACCATCACCACTGCGTTTGTTAAGATAGAGCATTAACTTGTACATACAAAAAAAATTTAAAAAAAAATAAATAAGGCTTTTAGACAGTATTTTCAACATAAAATTATGCACCAAATTCCAGTCCCCAAACAACATTGAAACGCTGATATTAATTGATAATCGAGTGATTTTTTTTTTTTTTTGAAAATAAAGAAAAAGTACATATTTTGTAGTGGGTGGAGCCAGTTAATGTGAGTGGAGTACATTACCTCCGGTAAAAACTTTTTTCTTTTTTATGTTTATTTTTTTATAGAACTTTATAGAATTTCTTCTAATTTTTTCAATAAAAGTTTTTACTTTTTACTCTTTCTTTTTTTTTCCCTACTCAATAATTAAAATACGTAACTAACTAGACGTTTGGTTAATGGATTCAGAATCATGATTCAAAATTATTCTCGATTTACGTGTATTTTTTGAGAGAAAATACTGTAACAAATCACGAACCATGATTCGAATCATGGCATGAATCTAGTGACCAAACAACCTTGTCTCGGATCAATAAAAGATTATCTCTGATTTCTATTATAGTGAGCCATTTTTTTTTAAAGTGGGAATAAGAGAAAATAGTTATGGACTCTAGTACTAACAAGTTGTCTTTGGTAGGACCGAAATGGGGTCGTTATTTTGTTGGCCCTATTCAGTTCATGGTCTGTTATGGTGCTGTTATTGCTTGTACACTCCTCGGAGGACAATGCATGAAGGTAAATCATCCAATTCATATATTTTTGGCCTCTTATAATATTGTTATCTCATGATATAAATATTTTGTCCCGTTTGATTCATGGGTTTAAACTCATGATTCTGATTTTACGATATTGTTTTCTCTCACAAAAAATTTAGATAAAAAAAGTTCTTGTTAATGAGTTCTTTCACAAAATTTGAACCCAGAATCAAAATCACTGTAATTTTAGCAGGATAAGAATTGAAACAGGATTTTGAGACAGATTATCTGAGTTCTTGATTGGTCCTGTTGCTGTTTTGCAGGCAATTTACTTGCTTTCAAACCCACATGGGGCAATAAAGCTTTATGAGTTTGTGATCATATTTGGGTGTTTTATGCTGATTTTAGCCCAATTCCCATCTTTTCACTCTTTAAGGCACATCAATTTGGTGTCCCTGGTTTTATGCCTTGCCTACAGTGTTTGTGCCACTGCCGGCTCCATTTATATTGGTAATGTATTATCTATCTCATCATGCAACATGTAATTGGGCAATCATGCGTATGATAAGTTTGCAAAAAGAAAACGTCCTAAAGGAAAGATTTTTTCTCTTTTTTTTTTTTTATTGTTAGGAAATTCATCAAAGGGGCCAAAGAAAGATTATTCCATCAATGGCGATACAGAGAGCCACATCTTTGGTATCTTCAATGCCATTGCAATCATCGCGACGACGTATGGAAACGGAATCATTCCGGAAATTCAGGCTCGTTGAAATCATCTCTTTTAACTCTTCTTTTTCCATACAATAGCCGATTTTGGCTCCCCTGTTGTCGAGAGAATAGGGTTCGCTAAGTCTAGAAGCGCTAACGATGGTGACAGGCAACGGTCGCGCCGCCAGTGAAGGGAAAGATGTTCAAGGGTTTGTGTGTTTGCTATACTATAGTGGCCGTGACATTCTTCAGTGTTGCCGTCTCTGGCTATTGGGCATTTGGTAACCAATCTGAGGGCCTAATACTTAACAATTTCTTGGATGATGGTAAAGCTCTGGTCCCAAAATGGTTCATCCTCATGAGCAACATTTTCACAATACTCCAACTATCAGCTGTTGGTGTGGTGAGTGCTATAAAACAACTAAATTCAGTACTAAAAAAAAAATAGAAAAAACGTTTCTTGTTACTGAATGGCAAGATTGCTTAACAGGTTTATCTGCAACCGACGAATGAAGTGCTGGAGAGAACATTTGGAGACCCCTCAAGCAAGGAGTTCTCTTTTCGGAATGTTGTCCCGAGGGTAGTCGCTCGTTCGCTTTCGGTGATCGCGGCGACAACGCTGGCAGCAATGCTTCCCTTCTTCGCGGACATCAATTCGGTGATCGGAGCTTTCGGTTTCATGCCTCTTGACTTTGTCTTGCCTGTGGTTTTCTACCACTTGACGTTTAAGCCTTCAAGTAAAAGTCCCATTTTCTGGTTAAATGCGTCTATAGGAATCTTCTTTTCAGTATTAGGAGTCATAGCAGCTGTTGCAGCAGTGAGACAAATAGGCCTTGATGCCAAAAATTATCGCTTATTTGCTAATGTTTAATCGCAAAGCTTACCACGGTGCTATTAGAAGATTTTAATTAATCTGTACAAGCTTAATTTACGCTTCTATTGTACTTGGCAATTGTGTTTAATCACAAAGCCTACAACCATAATGAATATCTCAAAGATACAAGCTTGGAGAATTCAATATGAAAATTGCCAATTCTACATATGAGAATTTTTACAAGGTATAGAATCCAATATTAGGTTTAAGCTAAACATAGTAAACATATTACATACACACACACACACACATATATTTTTACGAGATATATAATTTTTTACGAAAAAATGTTGTAAATTTTCAAGTGTTGAAAATAAATAACTTAAGCAAAATTTGGTGCTTTCTAATTTTCACCTTCCTATTTCTCACAGCAAAATTCCATTTGAGCAACATGTTCAATTGAGCTCCAAAGCCAGCCTACGGAGTGCTTAAGAATAGCTTATTGATTTATTTGATCGTTCTCATGCCAAAAAGACTATTATTGACTAATGAAAAAAAAAAAGGTCATTTTTTGTTTGCATGAACAAAGCACAAAATACAACTAGAAGAACAAAATCAGATGTCACTGAATATAAAACCAGTCACTGTGTAATCCTCTCTGCCTAAATATCCATCCCCCCTCTTTAGCCAGCTATTGTAGAATTCAATGTGAAACCTGAAAGGGAAAAAAAACAAAAACAAAAACAAAAAAAAAA